GTTCATGTCGTGCATTTGTTCTGGTGTTACTGACGAACTCATGAGTCTCTTTCGTTCGAAAAAGTTAGCTAACTTTACGCTATCCCAACTGAAATAATTTTGATTACTTGTTGTAGCTAGATTTGACGATATGGTTTTTAGTCTTCTCCCCATATGCGTTTTGAATGGTTACAACTTATTCCCTTCGTGCGGTGTTCTCTTAGTGTTTTATTTAACTCCACTACGTCTGATGGTAGTTTGTATGGTATGTTTCTTGGGTCGATTTTCAAAAAACCTAGCCGAGCTCAACCGGAACGAAAACTTTTTTCATGTATATATTAGTTAGGCACGTAAAAGAGCAATTGAAAATTTTTTGAGCTCACAAAAGGTCTACTAGCTCAAACTGGTCAGTCCAAGGAGCTTATTTCAGGAGCTCTTCGATCAAAATAAGCTTTTCGATCAAGATAAGCCGAATTATAATTCAACTTGAAAATTACTTCAAGGACCCTGCCACCTGACTCAGCGATGGATGGGTAGTAGTTTTCTCTGATCTTACTTGTATTATTGGCATCGCGTTGCCCAATTTTTTTGATAACGTGCTGGTACGTACTTTTGTTGACGCCCTTGTTGCTGGTGGCGTTTTTTTGTGTCTCTCTTCTTGTTGGGTTTTGGTGTTTCGCTTTCTATAAAAGTGTCTAACACTGCCGAGTTTGACGTTGACACGAAGGGACCGTGAATTGTGTCCGTCTTGCTTTTGGGAGGCCTTCTATTTTTTTTCCATGCTGGCCTGTTTTTTTTTTGCTATTGGTAATCTGATGAATTTGGTTGGTGTCTTAAGCCAGTTCCTCTGGGATTTTTGTTTTACTGGCTTCTTGCACCAGTTGGTTCTTTAGTTTTTCCGAATTTTGTTATGTTGTGTTCTGTTTCTGTGGGGTTGTTGTTTTTGCTAGCTTCTTGTTTGCGTTGATCTTTTGATACTGCCCCTCCAATTTTTCCACGAACATAACTTTTTTTTATACCTTGCCGACCTATTTGCTACGAAGTCGCTTAACTGTGTTGTTCTACAGTTGCTATATATTTTAGGATTCGATACAAATGCAAAGCCATTGTTGCGTAGTAGTCTAGGTTACTTTCTGAATTTTTTAACCCATTCAGTTGGTGGTGTAAATGTTAGAAATTTCCCTTCGTGTGTTTTGTATTTTTGCTAAAGTTGTATGGGATCCTTCACTTTTTGTGCTATATGAACTGTTTTTTGAGCAACCTGTCAAACGTTCTCCCTTTGTCTGTTGTCTGGTCTTTTTTTCACCTCTGAGCTTATTTTAGATGACTAATAAAAGCTATTTAAGCTGCGAACTTTGTCTCTCAGCCATGTCGCTGTCGAGGTTGATAATTTCGGGAAGTTGTTCCCTGTTCTCCCTCCGTTTTATCCCAACCTCGTACTCAAACCAAGCGTTCATGTCGTGCATTTGTTCTGGTGTTACTGACGAACTCATGAGTCTCTTTCGTTCGAAAAAGTTAGCTAACTTTACGCTATCCCAACTGAAATAATTTTGATTACTTGTTGTAGCTAGATTTGACGATATAATTTTTAGTCTTCTCCCCATATGCATTTTGAATGGTCACAACTCATTCCCTGCGTGCGGTGTTTTCTTAGTGTTTTATTTAACTCCACTACGTCTGATGGTAGTTTGTATGGTATGTTTCTTGGGTCGATTTTCAAAAAACCTAGCCGAGCTCAAGCGGAACGAAAATTTTTTTCATATATATATTAGTTAGGCACGTAAAAGAGCAATTGAAAATTTTTTGAGCTCACAAAAGGTCTACTAGCTCGAACTGGTCAGTCCACAGAGCTTATTTCAGGAGCTCTTCGATCAAAATAAGCTCTTCGATCAAGATAAGCCGAATTATAATTCAACTTCAAAACTACTTCAAGGACCCTGCCACCTGACTCAGCGATGGATGGATATTAGTTTTCTCTGATCTTACTTGTATTATTGGCACCGCGTTGCCCAATTTTTTTGATAATGTGCTGGTACGTACTTTTGTTGACGCCCTTGTTGCTGGTGGCGTTTTTTTGTGTCTCTCTTCTTGTTGGGTTTTGGTGTTTCGCTTTCTATAAAAGTGTCTAACACTGCCGAGTTTGACGTTGACACGAAGGGATCGTGAATTGTATCCGTCTTGCTTTTGGGAGGCCTCCTATATTTTTTCCATGCTGGCCTGTTTTTTTTTTGCTGTTGGTCATCTGATGAATTTGGTTGGTGTCTTAAGCCAGTTCCTCTGGGATTTTTGTTTTACTGGCTTCTTGCACCAGTTGGTTCTTTAGTTTTTCCGAGTTTTGTTTTGTTGTGTTTTGTTTCTGTGGGGTTGTTGTTTTTGCTAGCTTCTTGTTTGCGTTGATCTTTTGATACTGGCCCTCCAATGTTTCCACGAACATAACTTTTTTATACCTTGCCGACCTATTTGCTACGAAGTCGCTTAACTGTGTTGTTCTACAGTTGCTATATATTTTAGGATTCGATACAAATGCAAAGCCATTGTTGCGTAGTAGTCTAGGTTACTTTCTGAATTTTTTTACCCATTCAGTTGGTGGTGTAAATGTTAGAAATTTCCCTTCGTGTGTTTTGCATTTTTGCTAAAGTTGTATGGGATCCTTCACTTTTTGTGCTATATGAACCGTTTTTTGAGCAACCTGTCAAACGTCCTCCTTTTGTCTGTTGTCTGGTCTTTTTTTCACCTCTGAGCTTATTTTAGATGACTAATAAAAGCTATTTAAGCTGCGAACTTTGTCCCTCAGCCATGTCGCTGTCGAGGTTGATAATTTCGGGATGTTGTTCCCTGTTCTCCCTCCGTTTTATCCCAACCTCGTACTCCGACCAAGCGTTCATGTCGTGCATTTGTTCTGGTGTTACTGACGAACTCATGAGTCTCTTTCGTTCGAAAAAGTTAGCTAACGTTACGCTATCCCAACTGAAATAATTTTGATTACTTGTTGTAGCTAGATTTGACGATATGGTTTTTAGTCTTCTCCCCATATGAATTTTAAATGGTCACAACTTGTTCCCTGCGTGCGGTGTTCTCTTAGTGTTTTATTTAACTCTACTACGTCTGATGGTAGTTTGTATGGTATGTTTCTTGGGTCGATTTTCAAAAAACCTAGCCGAGCTCAAGCGGAACGAAATTTTTTTTTCATGTATATATTAGTTAGGCACGTAAAAGAGCAATTGAAAATTTTTTGAGCTCACAAAAGGTCTACTAGCTCGAACTGGTCAGTCCACAGAGCTTATTTCAGGAGCTCTTCGATCAAAATAAGCTCTTCGATCAAGATAAGCCGAATTATAATTCAACTTGAAAATTACTTCAAGCACCCTGCCACCTGACTCAGCGATGGATGGGTAGTAGTTTTCTCTGATCTTACTTGTATTATTGGCATCGCGTTGCCCAATTTTTTTGATAATATGCTGGTACGTACTTTTGTTGACGCCCTTGTTGCTGGTGGCGTTTTTTTGTGTCTCTCTTCTTGTTGGGTTTTGGTGTTTCGCTTTCTATAAAAGTGTCTAACACTGCCGAGTTTGACGTTGACACGAAGGGATCGTGAATTGTATCCGTCTTGCTTTTGGGAGGCCTTCTATATTTTTTTCCATGCTGGCCTGTTTTTTTTTTTGCTATTGGTAATCTGATGAATTTGGTTGGTGTCTTAAGCCATTTCCTCTGGGATTTTTGTTTTACTGGCTTCTTGAACCAGTGGGTTCTTTAGTTTTTCCGAGTTTTGTTGTGTTGTGTTTTGTTTCTGTGGGGTTGTTGTTTTTGCTATCTTCTTGTTTGCGTTGATCTTTTTATACTGCCCCTCCAATGTTTCCACGAACATAACTTTTTTTTATACCTTGCTGACCTATTTGCTACGAAGTCGCTTAGCTGTGTTTTTCTACAGTTGCCATATATTTTAGGATTAGATACAAATGCAAAGCCATTGTTGCGTAGTAGTCTAGAATGCTTTCTGATTTTTTTCACCCCTTCAGTTTGTGGTGTAAATGTTAGAAATTTCCCTTCGTGTGTTTTGTATTTTTGCTAAAGTTGTATGGGATCCTTCACTTTTTGTGCTATATGAACCGTTTTTTGAGCAACCTGTCAAACGTTCACCCTTTGTCTGTTGTCTGGTCTTTTTTTCACCTCTGAGCTTATTTTAGATGACTAATAAAAGCTATTTAAGCTGCGAACTTCGTCCCTCAGCCATGTCGCTGTCGAGGTTGATAATTTCGGGATGTTGTTCCCTGTTCTCCCTCCGTTTTATCACAACCTCGTACACTGACCAAGCGTTCATGTCGTGCATTTGTTCTGGTGTTACTGACGAGCTCATGAGTCTCTTTCGTTCGAAAAAGTTAGCTAACTTTACGCTATCCCAACTGAAATAATTTTGATTACTTGTTGTAGCTAGATTTGACGATATGGTTTTTAGTCTTCTCCCCATATGCGTTTTGAATGGTTACAACTTTTTCCCTTCGTGCGGTGTTCTCTTAGTGTTTTATTTAACTCCACTACGTCTGATGGTAGTTTGTATGGTATGTTTCTTGGGTCGATTTTCAAAAAACCTAGCCGAGCTCAACCGGAACGAAAACTTTTTTCATGTATATATTAGTTAGGCACGTAAAAGAGCAATTGAAAATTTTTTGAGCTCACAAAAGGTCTACTAGCTCGAACTGGTCAGTCCACAGAGCTGATTCGAGCTCTGTGATTTAAATCAAGCTCGTACAAGCTCGTCTGAGCTCTCTGAGGTAGCCTGCCGAGCTCTAAGAGCTCGAACTCAAAAATAGTTAGGCTACGTACGGGAGCAATTGAACAGCTAGCTCGAGCTCAATTTCTAGCTGCGTCACCCCAATGAGGGGGAAACAGAGCTCAACCTATACCAGCTTGAGCTTGCTCTGGTCGAAGTCAGCTTGAGGAAGCTCTCTGTGAAGAAAAATAGAACTGATGGTTGGGTGGCCTTTAAAAAGGCCGGTTTGGTTGGTGTGGAGTACACCTTGAGCTTAAGCTCGCTCTCCTCGGATTAGTCGAGCCAACTGGATGTCCTTGGGAATGATCGTGACTTTCTTGGGGTGGATCGCGCACAAGTTGGTGTCCTCGAACAGGCTGACCAAGTAGCTCTCGCTGGCTTCCTGCAGAGCCATGATGGCAGTGCTCTGGAACCGCAAGTCAGTCTTCAAGTCCTGGGCGATTTCTCTGACCAGTCGCTGGAAGGGCAGCTTTAGGATCAACACTCAGTGGACTTCTGGTATCTCCTGATCTCCCTCAGGGCAACGGTTCCTGGTCTGTATCGGTGAGGCTTCTTCACACCGCCGGTGGAAGGTGCGCTCTTTCTTGCAGCCTTGGTAGCCAGTTGCTTCCTGGGTGCCTTTCCTCCGGTACTCTTTCGTGCAGTCTGCTTCGTTCGGGTCATTCTTCGTCAGTTGTGTGTAGCTGTGAGTTGCAGATGTAGAAGTAGATTTTGGATGTTGAAGTTTGGAAAAATCCGTGAGGTAACTTAGAGAATCAGATCTCCAGAAGCCTTGAGAGCGTTCGACGTATAAAAAACAGTTAGGCACGTAAAAGAGCAATAGAAGAAGAGCTCAGGTGAGTCGTTACTTATATATATTAGGGAGCATTTTCAACTATATATAGTAAGGTATGTGAAGTGCCGACTATTTATACTTGGGTTGGAGGTTACCCGCCAAAAGCGGAAAAGGTGATTGGCCCGTGTCTGAGTGATAACGGAAGCTCAAACTAAACTCGAATCTGATTGGTTGAGAAGTGAAAACTTGAAAATTTGGTGTTTTTGCCTATAGAATTGACCCAAAGCTAACTTTAGCCAGTTACAAACTCAATTCAGCTTAAACTAGCTGAATTGGGCTCGTTAGCTAGCTTTGGAAGCTCAAACTTAGTTATTTCGAGCTGTAAGTTAGAGAGCACAAGAAAGCTCAAATCTGATTGGCTGAGACGTGAAATCTTAAAATCTTGCTGTCTTTTAGCTCTAAAGTTGGTCTGGAGCTGATTTAAGCAAGTTACAAGCTCAGTTGAGCTTGGTAGCTCAAATAAGACGCTCAAAGCTAGCTGTTGAGAGCTCAAAACTGCATACAAGCCAATTTGAGCTTGCTAGCTAGAGTACAAAGAGAACTATGTTTTTTGGTGGCCTTTAAAAGGCCGGTTTGGTGTTGCTCAGAGCAACTAGTTGTACCAGCTGGTCGTCTACTTGGAGCTGGTGTTTTTGGTGACGGCCTTGGTTCCCTCACTGACAGCATGCTTGGCCAGCTCTCCGGGCAACAGCAGTCGTACTGCGGTTTGGATCTCCCGGCTAGAGATGGTTGATCGCTTGTTGTAGTGGGCTAGTTTTGAAGCTTCACCGGCGATTCTCTCGAAGATGTCGTTCACGAAGCTCTTCATGATCGACATAGCCTTGGAGGAGATGCCGTTGTCAGGGTGGAACAGCTTCAGCACCTTGTAGATGTAGAGAGAGTAGGTCTCTCGCCTCTTCTTCTTCTTTTTCTTGTCTCCAGTAGGCTACTTCTGGGCTTTGCCTGCCTTCTTGACTGCCTTTCCGCTGACGTTGGGTGCCATTTTAGAGATGTAGTTGTAGTGGTGTTGAGTTGTGGATCGAGCAAAAAGCTAACCTAACTTGAAAAATTGTGTTCAAATCGAGTTCGAAGAATACTCAATTCCGATTGGCTCTCAGCTGAAAGCTTAATTAGGAAAGCAGTTTTTTACTAATGACACAGCACCCGACACATAATCTTGTTCTCCTTTCACGAATTTCAATAAATGCTCTTGCCATTGTGTCTAGTATTTTTTCTTGCAAATAATAATATGCTAGCAAATCATATTACTCTCTTGCTTTTGAAAATAAAACTTGTAAGTTGATGTTTTATCGTCATTTAGATTAGTTCATTGTGAGAATCCTGACAATGCACATAGTAAAAAAAAGGCTTGAAATTTTTTTAATCAAAAAATTTTTCATTTTTTGTAAACTTGCGATAAACCAAAAAGCGAAGAGCTTAAAATTCCAAATAATTTCCCATTAAAGGGCCAGAGTCTAAAAATTTTTAATGATATTCATCAATGTATAGGGAAATTTTAAAGTGTTTTTCTATTGATACGTAGAATTTGGCCAATTTTTCTTTCAGTTACCGAAATGTTTCATAACTTAGCAGCTAGCTCCCTGTTCCACAGCATCAACACCCTCAACAAATGTGAGAAAAAGCGATACGAGAGCCTTGTTACTGCAATTCCTGTCCTATATCTGAATAATTCACTGATCCAAGGAAAGAAAATCCGACAATGACTGAAAGACAGTCCATTGAAAGAGAAAAAAGCGGTTGTGTGGCACGACGTGGTGAATAACACCAATAGCAGCCACAGAACCAACAACTATAGACCAGCCTATGTCGAGGAGCTGACAATTTATTTGCAGTCGAAGAGGCAGGAGTTATTGGCGATCGAAGAGGCAGCAGTAATTTTAGAGGTTTAAATTTTTTAAATCTGATTAGTAATTTTAGAAGTCAACTGTGATTGGCTAACTTTTGAACATGATGGCTTGGAACTAAAATTTATGTGAATTATTGGAAAAAACATATGTAAATTGATTTTTTATTGTCAATTAGATTTGTTTATTGTAACAATTCCGAAAATGCACATAGTTGCAAAAACGTTTGAAAATTACTTTTTATCAAAAAACTCATTTATTTTATTTGTAAACTTGCAAAAAAAAAAGCGAAGAGCACAAAACTCTAACTGTTTTCACATTAAAGGGCCAATATCTAAAACACTTTAGCCAGTTTTTTTTATTGATACGTAGAATAAGGCCAACTTTTATGTGAGTTACCGAAATTTTTCATAATGTAGCAGCTAGCTCCCTGTTCGACAGCATCAACACCCTCAACAGATGTGAGAAAAAGCAATACGAGAGCCTTGTTACTGCAATTCCTGTCCTATATCTGAATAATTCACTTCCGGGGAAAGAAAATTTGACAATGACTGGAAGACAGTCCATTGAAGGAGAAAAAATTGATTGTGTGGCACGACGTGGTGAATAACACCACTAGCAGCCATCGAACTAACAACTATCGCCCAGCTTGTGTCGAGGAGCTGACAAACTAATTGTAGTCGAAGAGGCAGCATATATTGGCGATCGTCTATTGCAGAAGGTAAGGAACGCCTGACTTGTTTAGTCAGCTAATCGGCACAGGAGTGCTCATTATTCCAGCAACAAAACGGCTACTTTCTAAGAGCAAACAAAACGAGCCGGAGCAGCTCATGGAACATTTGAAGCTGCGCCAGAGTGCTGAGTTAGAGCTGAAATCTCTGTGATTGATAGCGGCACACAAAGAAAGACTGTCAGAACTGATTGGCAATATCAGAAGGAAACAACAAAGATGTAGGCAAAAGCAAGACGGGAGCAGAAGTTGAAAGCAGAGGAAGTGTCTGCGTTTCAAAGACAGGGGTGAGGACAGTGTGATTTGTTTTGCTTTATGCCTTGTGAGTTTCATTACGAGGACTGCAAATTAATGACCACAGTACCTTTGCCTGCTGTTTGGATCAGACAAATTTTAAAAAGAAAACTAACTTGGAAAATTGTTTTAGATTATTGAAATTCTTCAAAAATTTTTTATATCTCTACATAGACTGAAGTTTCTGGGAAATTTTCTGAAAAATGATCTAATACCGGACTTTTTGAAGTTTAGGGTCCCCGAGAACGGGTTGTTTTTGGACCAAGCCGTGCATAATTTTCAAATAAAATTACTTAGGACTGAAACTTCTAGGGCAAATGAGGAGAGGAAGAGGTATGAGGAAATGCTAGCGAAAGCAAGGTTGCTGGTGCAAAAAAAATCGACGAACAGTGGTGATAATTAATTTTCCGTTTCGTGAGGCGTCAAGTAGAGGCAAGCTTAAAGACAACATCAGAAAACCATAGAAAAAATTCAGAAAAACTGTCCGGGAGACAAAATGAACCTCTTGGTGGGCAAAATGAGCAATCAGGTAAGGTGCTTGATAACATAGAACTGCCTGGATGGGTACATGAAGTGTTGTCAATGAGTCCGTCTGAGACAAACTTAACGAAACGCACTTCTTGGCTGATATCGACACTTTCCTCTCAAAATTAAAAAACCAAAAAAAAACTGGTGAAACTTTAGGTGAAATAGAAGCCGCGGCAAAGGCATATACAAGAAAAATTAGGGCAAGCCCCAACTTACAAAGCCATTGAAAAAACAAGGAAATATCTCAAAGATAATGGGTTGGTGGCTGTGTTTTTGATAAGGGAGTTGGTTTCTGCATAATGAAGAAAGAAACGTATGAATCAACGCTGGAATCGTTGTTGCAATCTGCTCAGTTTTTTTTTAAAAAAAGAGGCAAACACTGATGAGGTTATTCTGAAAGTTGAGAAGGGACAGCAAAAAATTACTGGCCATGAATAAAAAAGACGAGATAAGTGATCAAGTATATTCTAAGTTGAGGTGACGAGAGGGGCAACCCGCCCGTTTGTACGGCTTAGCTAAGGTACACAGGGCTGAGACACCCCTCGATTAGTACTATCACTTCCAGGCAGCTCGTATGAGAACCTTAACAAAACGCTTGCAAAGTTTTCTGACAATATCGATGGAGCCAATATAGAAAACAATACTAAAAATGCCAGAGAAACAATTGAAAACATTTCTCTAGATCCGGATGAAACCATAATATCTCTTGATGTGAAAACTTTGTACACTAATATTCCCCTGAAGGAAGCAATTGAAATTGCCTTACAGAAGCTGTACAGCCAGGAGTCTTCTGAGATTCAAAGAGCAAGCTTGAAAAACTTTTGAATATGGCGATCAGCAAAGTATATTGCAAGTGTAATGATTCCTGGTATGTGCAGGTTGATGGTCTAGCAATGAATGCTTCCCTCGCGGTAGTTCTGTCAAACCTATGGCTGAAAGACTACGAGTTTATTCTAAGACAAGAAAAACCGGTGGGAACTGACATATAGATCAAAGAGGTCGAAATGCGAGTGTTGCCGAAACTGATATCATCTAAATGCGGAAAAATATCCGATGATATGTACGCATCAATATGTACGAGATTGTCTGGTGCTGTGAAAGCTGCTGCCGCGCTAAGAACAAGGAGAAGGATACTCCACAAATAAAATTGTAAATTGTTCCTCAAGTATGTGGATGACATTGTAAGAACAGTCAGAGGTGAGCCGAGTTGGGTTCTCGATGCCACCAATTCTCTTCATCCAAATCTACAGTTCACTCTAGGGTAAACTAATTCAGAGGGAATTTTGCCGTTACTGGATTTGAACAAAAATGTATCGCGGGATAGAGGTGTAAACTGCAATTGGTATCAAAAACCAACAAAATTGGTCCGCAAAGGTGGCGGCAGACGCCCTGTGCAAAATCATTAAGGGTAAGGGCAAGCTCGTGGATAGTGAGAGGAGTTCGTTAACTCAATCACCAAAGGATGTTAAGCCACCAATGCTGATGGTCAATATAGAGGTAACCAAAGCCAAAATTTTGCATGCAGGTTACAAAATTTAACTAACGCTCAAGTGGTTTTTGCCACAAAAAGTCTAAAACCATGTTTACCCTCACTGAAGTCAGCAGTTTTTGATGAGCTCAATTCAAGAGTGGTTTATAAATTGTCATGTAGTGGATGCACTTCCACCTATGTTGGACAAACTGTTAGATATTTGACGACCAGAAGTGAGGAACATAAGAAAGCAGACTCACCGGTAGGCCTCCACCTTCAGCAATGCAGTCTTGATGGAAAAAGCGCAGATCAGTTAAACAAAACTATAGATAGGTTAAGCAACCAAACAAAACTTTCAAAACTAAAGACAATACATGCCAGGAAAGAGAAACCGGGCTTCAACACGCGCGATAAGTTTAGGAGCAGGGAGTTAACACTGAAAATTTAGTCCCAAAATATTTTTTGTTTTTTTATCTAAAACGTACATCTCTAAATCGAAATTATGAATCAGAAACTTCCAGACAAATTAATTTAAAAAACTAAATTACAAAAGGGGCCCTTCCGTTTAGTTACGTTAAGTGCACAAGCTGGATAGTCCTTCCTTTACAATAGCGCTAATGGTGTTGTCGATAAATTAACTTTTGCGCAGCAGTCTGCAGCCCCTTGTACATAGTATAGAGCTCCTCAGGAGGGCGAAGCTTATTTTAATTGGTTTCAAAACACCTAATTATTTTTAATGCTCGGTGAGCTCCATGAGCTCTATTGCTATGTGATCGTCTACTTGTGCAAAAAAATCATCTACTGGTGCAAAAAAAGAGCGCTATGTTGTTGTCTTTGTAATATAATTGGAAAACTTTTAACTCTAATTGTTTGTTATTGTCACACTTGATCCGCCTTGCGAATCCGTTGTTCACAAACTATCTTTGCATAAACTTTGTTGCGGTGTCTGTTGTGTTATTTGTTACTACTTTTGTGGTGGGGTATTTTGAAAATCTTTTAAATTCCACTTATTTGTAGGCATCAATGTCTAATTCGTCTCGCAA